CCCAGTGGGATGCTCCTGGGATGCTCCTCATCCTCGGGAGGACAGAGCAAATCCCTCTGCCAGGAGCTGCCAAGGGAGGATGGCAAAATGGGGCAAAAAATGGGGATTTTGGAAGGTTTCCCTGAGTTTTCCTCATTCCACATTGGAAGAAAACTGGAATTTGCCTCACTGCTCTCCAGCTTTTCCCCCTCTGGAGTGCAGCCCTGCCCCAGGGAGGGTGAGGAGCAGCTCACAGCTCATTTATCAGCCAGAGCTGAGGGAAAAGCCAAAATCCTGTGGTAAAAGCAGGAGAAGCAGCTTTGCCTCTGCATTCACAGCTCCGTGGAAGCGTGAGGGTGATCCCAGTGCACACAGCTGGTTCCTCTGCTCCCCCCCAGCCAAACACCCGCGCTGCCACCAGGATTTGGGCACCTGCTCCAGCTGGGAACATCCTGATCCAGACCAAAAGCACCACCAAGGAGCAGTCACAGCCTCAGCCTCCAAAACTCCAAATGTTCGCTGGAAAATTTCCAGCTCTGCCTTGCTTGCTGCCTGTCATAAATGAGAGTTTATTCAGCCGGATTAAAAATAAAAAATAATTTTATTAGTGGTCAAATTTTACCTAGCCAGCCACGGAAAAAGACAGAGCCGAGCCCGGGGTCAGCCCTGGGTGTGCAACAAGAATTCAGCCTCAGGGGAGGTTTCCCCTATGCCCACACACCTCCATCCTGGCACAAGCGGTTTTTATAGGGAAAATTCCGCCTGAGGCCAAGATTTCAGCAATCAGTCTTTTCTTCTATTCAGTCTATAGGTTAATAAATTTTTTTTTTTTTCTTTTGGTGATGAGGAGGAATAATTCAGTGTCCGGAGTAGGTGAATCCCTGATTTACGGGAAGGCTGCATTCACATGGATCTGTCTGAGGATTTCCACGAGATCCATCTTGGGCCATTTATGCGATGATCAGCACCCGATGATCAATACCTGGAGTCCCATGGAGTCCAGCCTTGGCCCATCTCCTGGCCCAGCCACATCCTTTTACTTGTAAATCAGTTTCCAATATACACCCGGACTCACCTGCAAAGGGGGGGAACTAATACAAACAGGCACAATCTAACAAGTATCCAATATTCCATATTTCATACAAGGGATGGCGTGAATTATATTTACTACACATAACACTGTCCATCCACGGTCGAGGATTTTGGGAGCTGCCTCTTGCCCAGGTCAGGGCAGATCCTCATCCCTCCTCTGCTCCAGCCCTTCCCCACATCCATCACCCTTATCCCGGGGATTTAATCATCCCTGAGGCTCCCAGGAGCTGCTGGAGAATTTATTTCCCCGCACCCAGGACAGGCTGCCCTTGCAGGGTGGGTGCAGCTGGGGAGCTCCTCGCTGATCCAAACCCTTCATCCCTCCAAAAATTCCCTCCTTCAAACCTTTTTCCTCCAAAAGCCCCGAGTTTGCAGGGCAGGAAGAAATTCCAGGAGTTGTTTGGTGATGCCTCCGTGGATTCTCCTGGCACAGTCTCATCCCAGTGCCTGCCGTGCTCCAAGGGCAGCCTGCAAACTCCAACACGTGAAAGACAAGCCCAGATCCATGAATTAGTGGGAAGAAATGGAAATTTGATCCATTTTTGAAGTTTAAAAGGAAGGTGCTGTGCCTGAGGGGGGCTGGGGGAACGGGAGCTGAAGCTGGGATGTGCCTCTCCTCTCATGGAGCACCAGGGATACTCAGGACACCCCTGGCAGGAATCTCCATCACATTTGGGATTTCACCAGCTCTGGAAAACAAAGCCCTGAGCCCAAAATCAGCTGGAAGCAGCTGCACGCATTACAAAATGCCCATGGCTTGGGAATTCCTGCCTGGCTTAAGGAATGTTTTGTGTTTAGGGAGAGAATTGCCCTGCTGAGGAGAAGGGGAGATGGTTTTAAACGAAAAAAGGAGAGATTTAGATTGGATTTCAGGAAGAAATCCTTCCCTGGGAGGGTGGGGAGTGCCCAGAGAAGCTGTGGCTGCCCCTCGGTCCCTGAAGGTGTCCAGGCCCAGGTGGGATGGAGCATCCCTCCTTTCCC